TGAGATTTAGTAAGTCGCTTATTGTATGTTAAACAGGAGATCATTAGAAACATTTATTCAAGATTAACAGTCATCTAATAGATCCCATTAGCAGCAGAGCTCTGTCAGCGGCCAGCTCGGAATGCGGGTGCTTTAACCATCCCTTGGGATGCGACAAGGAAAAGCCGAGATCCGCACGGCATCCCCTGCCAGGCAGAGACGTGGAATAGCAGCATTTTGCCCCTTATTTTACAGGGTTTGCAAGCGATGGAGCTGGTATTTAATCGCTGCTAACGAGCGTGGTGAAAGCGCTGGTTTTCACATGGATTAAACGGGAAGAAGCGGCGCCGGTGCCGGGGAGGGACCCGGGACACAGGGAGAGCGGCCGCCAGCACCGAGACCCGGCACCTTCCACACGGTGATTTATCTCCCGGCCTCGCCCGGCAAACTTGCTGATGAAAAGGCTCTTCCCTGCTCTGTGCCTCATCAATTCTCATTCCCGGTGCTTTTTCCGCTCCCTCCCTGGCTCCTGTCTGCTCTTGCGCGTCCGTTCGGCCCCTCTCCTGCTCCTTCCATCTCGGCCTCGTTCTCCGTTTGCATCTTTACTCCTTTTCTCCTGCTGCTCTCATCTCTGCTCCTTCCCCGTTTTGTCTCTGGGCAGCCTCCTTATTGTCCCCTCCGTCACTGATTCCCAGCTGCATCCCCTATTCCTGATGGGAATGGATGGATGGAGAGGGACACGATAGACCTAGCTGCACCCCCTATTCCCAATGGGAATGGATGGATGGAGAGGGACACGATGGACCCAGCTGCACCCCCTATTCCCAGTGGGAATGGATGGATGGAGAGGGACATGATGGACCCAGCTGCATCCCCTATTCCCGATGGGGATGGATGGATGGAGAGGGACACGATGGACCCAGCTGCATCCCCTATTCCTGATGGGGATGGATGGATGGAGAGGGACACGATGGACCCTCTGCAGGGACGGGCCAGGTTTGGGATGGGCAGAGCCCAGTTGAGCTTCACCCGGCGCTTTCCAGCCTCACCACCTTTTCCAGGTACCCGGACAGCCCCATTCCAGGTGCAAATAATCACGCCTCCCATTTTGCTCCTAGCAACATTCCCGAAGGAAACGAGGCTCCCACAGCCCCCTTAGTCCCAGCACTGGCACTCGAGGCCCAGAGGAGCCTTCGCGTACGTTTTTGGCAAGCGGAGCACTAAGAAGGGCCCATGCGACGCATCCGATCACGGGGCGCTGGGAGGGATGGGGCTGCAGGCGGCCACAGAACAGCCCTTTTTGCTTATCCAAAACCATGAAGTCTGGGGTTTAGGAGCCAGGGCTTCCAAAAAATGACATTTCTACATAAGCGCCAATCCTGTTACTTATACAAGCCTGGCACAGCGTAATCCCCTGTGCAAGGCTCTCCGTGGCCATCAGTTCTGCACCGTGGTGCCCCAAGAAACCCCCGCGCTGAACAAGAAACCTATAAAGACATCACTAGAAAACAGAGACATCACTAGAAAACAGAGCACTGAGTCTTCCCTATAAAAATGGAGTTGGAGCCAAGGTACTTTTTTCTGGACCCTTTTTTCCCCCCAGCCTTAAGGAAATAAAAAAATATTCCCCCATGTTATTTTTTTAAGGAGAGAAGCTTCTATAATATTTTAATGGTCGGGGAGATTCATAGCTACAGAAATGCCTGTGCACTTAAAAAGAAAGATGAGGGTCCATCAGAAGGATGCAGAAATCAATAGATCCTTGCTCTGCTTTAGTGCTGCTTCGCTGGGAGATGCTTTAAAAGCCGGTGCCCATGCAGGAGGGCAGGAGGGGACGCGCGTGGCATCGATCCTGCTGCCAGGCCGCGCTCGGTGCCTGGCAAACTCTGCTCGAAGCCTTTATGGGCAGAGCAGCGGGGTGATAAAACGCAGCGGCTTGGAGGCAACTTTCTTTTTCCAGCTCCCGGAGAGTCGTTTAAGGAGAGTGGGAAGCGCCGGGGCCGCATGGGTTGTATCCGCGCGGTGAGAAGGGCTGTAGCAAATCCCAGGTGCTGGGACACGGAGGGACCCTGCGGTGGATCCGGGCACCCAGGACAGCGTCTCCCACCACCCTGGGTGCAGCAAAGGGCCTTGCACCCGGCGTGGAGGGGGTTAACTGGGGCTTGGGCCTTCACCTGGAGCCCGATGAGCCCAATTAAGGTAATTGCTCCCAGGCAGTCACTCTCCTTGGCTTTAAAAGCCGCTGCAGGGCAGAGGTGGGGATGGAGCTTTCTGGTGTTGTTTTCTGTAGGGTTTTCCCTCAGTTTCCTCTCTTTTTCCTGCTCTTCCAGAGAGGAGACCCTGGAGGAAAGGGAAGGACTTCTGTTCTGCCCCTACGAACCTGCTCTTCTGCTCGGCGTTGACTCCCCAGGCCGCCCACTTGCCCGGGGCTGTTCTGCACCCCGAGATCTGCGTTTGCCCTGGGCGGGCGCAGGGGGGACGTTCAGATGCTCCGATAGCAGCTCTGATCCGAGCAGCCCTTGGCCGTGGAAAAGGCTGGTGGCGGCTGCAAGGAGCAGGCGCCTTATCAGAAAATGAGGATCTGTGTTTGGGGAGAGAGCAGCAGAGCCAGCCCGGCTCATTGCAAAGGGCAGATTCCAAGGGAAACGAGCTCCGGTTTCCTTTGTTATTGGCATGGAGAAGCCACGCCATGCGGATGATCCATTCCCTGCCCAAAGCAAGCGGGAGCCGCAGCCTTGGCCGGGATCTCCCACCCGGGCGCCGCGTGCGCGACGTCTCCTCTAACCCAGCTTCTCGTCTGGCCTCTTTCAGGAATGACCTTGAGGAGCAGCCTGAGAAATGCAGCCGAGTGCAGAAATGAATCGCTTGGGGAGGAGGAAAAGGAGAAATTGTGATTGAAGGAGCAACCCGCAGCCGCCGTCCGGGGTGTTATGACTCCTTGGGCCGGGCAGGGCGGCCGCCGGCGGGG